TTTGTGGTGGTCGTCTGAGCTGACCAGTTCCGAGTAAGGAAACACTGACTTTAGACAATTGACTGCCAATTAATTGCTAATCAGCGGGATCATAAAATTGTTTCAGAGCCTCATGGGATCAGGTAAATTTCATCGTAACACAACCAGAATCCCTCTTCCCCAGGCGATAGATAATGATTGGCCGGACTGTGCAGAGCCGGGTTGAAATGAGCCGGTCCGGAAAATGCCGTCCGGCCCTGTTGTTTATAGTTTATGCTAGTAAAGGTAGCATATTATGCAAGTAGCATTGCTCTTTTTTTAGCGAAATTATGCTAAAATTATGCTCTTTTTTTCCAAGTTATGCCCCTTTTTTTAAAATTATGCTCTTTGAAAAATTGCAAATAACTCCAAAAAATACATTTTTTAATTAGAAGCCGTTGGTCTACATGAAAGAACCGCAACAAATCCACAATCAAATTCAAATAAACAGATGGTTTATGTTAACATGCACACTAGTACTAGACTATACATGGCCTACAATGTGACTTCCGGTTCCGGTGCACCCCTGACCCGGGCTCAGACCGTTTCAGACGCCGCGCAGTGATTCACAGTGAACTACAAATGCTAAACCTTCAAAAAACTAAAACTAAAACTAAACGAACTAAAACTTAAAACATCGAATAACGTCACCAAGTGCTTGGGAGTAGAGATGAACAATGATCAAATAAATGATCCAATATATATCAAAATATGCGAATTATGCTAGCATTGCTACTTGGCAGAAATTATGCCAGTTTGCTCAAATTATGCCAAAAATTATGCTAGCATAATCTATAAAGGCCTACCCTGTTGCCCTCGCGTCGCTTTGTGGTAAGAACTTAAAGGAAAATAGAAATGAAAAAAAAAAAAAAAAAAAAAAAAGTCGCGTCTTTCAAGGAATTGGGGTTTTCTCGCTCTGACTCGCAAAAATAAAGGAAAAGTTATAATTCCATTTTTTTTTTTTTTTTTGTGCTCGTTTTGCTGCGTGTACCCGGCTTCTATCGCGTCCTATCTATGCTGAGGTTTTCAAAACTTCGTGGTCATATGATGAAATGCTTATTGACTGAGTTTAGTTGGGCCGGGCGTGAAAATATTTGGCTTTCTGTCATGAGGCACGGACCTCGCGCACTCCGTATGTCATGAACTCGAATAAACTGGTATAGGTGTGGAAGATTGTTGGCTGTGCCGAATAAATTCGTAGTGGTATTTGCTGGCTCAACGATCTGATTGAGAATTAAAAGTAATACTTTCTATTTCTCGACCCTGTTAAGGCCATTAACTTTGGTCACCTGTCAACCTGATAACAAAAACAGCCGACTGGCGTTTTCATTTTTCTTACCTGTCTTATCTTACAGGGGAAAGGAATAAATATCTACAGGGGTTGAAAAAGAATTGGATCAATTTCCCGCAAGGCTATCACGGCAATGACACAAACCTCCCCACCCTCCCATCCCCCTACGCACCCTTGGTTACAGGTACTTTGATTGAAAAAAATTATCAAATATGAGCAGACTAGAGTTAAATATGTAATCAATCATGATACAGCCTTTATTTCCTCTTTTCCCCGCTATTTGTTTCAGATTCCAAGATGCTCTCTACGTATTCGTGCTCGTGGGTTCAAAACGGAAAAAGAAGTGCTTAAAAGTTTTTTCCCGCTTCCGTAGTCGTAAATTACCAATTTTTGTTCTCGTCAGTAATCTGTGAACTTAGGGATATTGAGGTGGTAGTCACAGAGAAAATACTCAACACTCCCTTCTCTCTCAAAAAATTGCCATCATAACGTGTACCAGAGGATTTAACTGAATCTATTTAATGCGATTTTAGTAGTAACTACTGCTTCCCACTCTAGAGAAGCGGATGTGAAATATGTCAAGTTGTAGGCGTCCCGAATTAACAATTGAAACCGGAAACAGGATGTAAAAGTACATTACGTAGTTTCAGAGAATATAACAAGACCCCATATTTAAGCGATACTTCGGCTTTTCTTCTCATACTTGTCACGTTATCACGTTTTATCTCCGTTGAAAAACCGTCTCGGAGACTTCGTGGTCTTAAATATTTCCCAGTCACAGGTGTACAACAATACCTCAATTATCTTATCACCTTTTATCCAATCACAAGGCTCTGAATTAGCACATGATCAGACGCGTGCAGCTGAGCTTCGCATGGCGCGGTCGCGGAACTGAGAGGTGGCAACAAATATGGCGTCTGAAGAAAGTTTGGAACTTGCTGGCCGCCTTTGACGAGGGATTGTGGATTTGTTGACATGTATTTGAACGATATGGCCCCGGATTTAAAGTTACACAGTCCTGCCGGAGCAGAGCCTATTGTCTATTCGTGGCCTCTACAGAAATCGGTAAGTTTCTCCTCTGGTATTCGGTCAAGTTTGGAATTTTGTACCAAGACAGCTTCTAACATCTACGCTCTTTGTCATGTTTACCTAAATATTTATTCGATGATTTACATTTCAGGACGGACGCGATGAGGCAGCAGAGATTGTTGAAACCATCAGGTAAATTAAGACTGCGTAGCAGATTTTCCCTTAGTGACTAAACTTGGAAATTGTAGGAAACTCGCTTTAATTTTGTTAGAAGCAGGTAACTATAGCTTCTATCGACTGCACAAACTCACGACTTTACCTCTTTGTACTATTCTCCTAGATGGGTTTGCGCCGATTTTCCTGACCTGAAACTCGCTGTCGAGAACTATGTTCTTCGTGAGTTTGATTCAACCAGGTAATTGTATTTATTCCGCGTTGTTTACGATTTACAAATTGAGGTTTCGTGTCAAATAAAAGTGAAACTAACATTGCTCATTAATAACAGGTGGTATTCGTCTGGTCCGAAATTGCAGTCCTCGATCATTGACACATTTTATTTTGTATTTCAGCTACGAAAGCATGTCCAAACTTTGTGAACGGTACAATCGAGCGATCGACGGAATTTTACAGTTGGTGAGTATACAGTACGTGGCGTGTATTTTTTGACACCACGATGTTCCATACGTCTCGCCTAGGGCGAAATGAAAACGCAATTTTAGCAGTAGTCGATTTGGAAAACGAAAGATAGGGTTCTATTTTTTACTCCTGAGAGATCATTTTTATCGTTAAGATAAAGATAGTTGGGCGATTTTTAACGTTTTTATTGGGTTGTCTCGTTCGTGGTGAAATGTCGTGCTTTGAGACATGCCACCATGTTTCGCATACCGGAAGAGGGTATAAACAATACCGGAGACTATAGTCACAGGTTGTTAGATAACGGATAGAAACCCTTGTCCGGTCATAACTCTGTCTTTCTTGAGGTTAACCAGAGGAGATCGAAATAATTTAGCTGATATTTAAATGTACACCATGCACCATGTGGTTTAATGTAGGCAAGAATATGTATATCATGTACACGTTGAATTGTTGTGATTTTATTGAATTTTAACCATTGCCAAAATATGAATTTGAAAAATTTGAACACTTTGGACAGTTTCACATGCTTTTCTGTCCTCAGTGTACATGCATGTACCATATAACTTTAAAGTCGTGATGTAATTCTTACTACATATGATGCACGATCCTTGCAGTAGAGAGCGCTATTTATGCAATAGCAAAAATCAGACCTGAAAAAATCAGGCCTGTATGGGATTCAAACCACTGACCTCTGCGATACTAGTGCAGCACTCTATCAAATGAGCTAACAAGCCAACTGGGAGCAGGCTGTTACGTTGATTCGTAATAAGCCCGTGATGATAAATCAGATACGATGAATATATGAAGTTCATATATTCTCTACTGTGAGGATCGTGCATCATATGTATCTATAACCACAGTTCAAAATATATGAACTCATATATTCATCGTAATTCTTACTGTTACACACATTAAAATAACTTTGCTGAACATGCTCGCCTGATACAATTCCCTTCCTAGCCAAGGTCAAGTTCAGGAGTGAACACTTTTAAACACGAAGGCACGCTATAAAAGGAGTCTTAAGTCCCACTGGACCATTTGTCACTTGACCCTCGTGTGATGTAGAGCTCTTAAGCCCTGGTCAAACGGCGCATGATAGTCGATGATAGTTGAAGGGCACGCTTCCATTTGACCACCAACTATCATGCACTATCATTGACTATCACCAACTATCATTCATTTTGAGCTTGTTCAAATTCTTCATAATAGTCGATGATAGTTTTTCTCATTTGACCACGCGTATGATAGTCCATGATAGTTTTTGGTCAGCTGTTTTCCCCGAAAATCGGGGGGCTCCTTTAAAATGGCCGCCAAAAGCTCAATATTTCCTGAAATGTTTCAAAGTTCATTCGCAACATTTCTTTGTGATTAAGCAGCAGTGTCCTCCACTTGCAATTCTTCCACCAATTTCAACATCCCCCTTTTGTTTCTCCTTTTAATGCATTTCCTTCTCCATCCTCTCTTCCACCAATGCTCTCCAGATTCATCCTCCGTACATTCCTCCAATAAATTGATTGCTAGTAAGCAAGCTGTCGCCCTCTTTCGTTGTGATAAATTCATACTTCAACAAGTTTGTTTGTCTCAAGCGAAGCCATGTTAGTGTTCACATTTTAAGCAGAAACAGTCTGGAACTAGCTGCTCGCATGACTTTGCTCACACAACTGCCCGTGAACTATCATCAACTATCACGAGATTTTTTGGCCGTTTGACCATCCGAATGATAGTTGGTGATAGTTGATGATAGTTTGAAGAGAATCAACTATCATCGATTATCATGCGCCGTTTGACGAAGGCCTTAGAGTCAAGTCAGCTTGAAATTAGGGGCTGGTCACTCTTAGGGTTGAAAGGGTTCATTTTCAGCGTTATTTTGTGGAGTGGACCTTTGGCAATTTGGTCTTTGGAGTTATTTAATATTATTTTATTATTTTTCCAGTGGAAAGGATGTGCCCCTCCATCATGTATCAATGTTCCACCATCTCAAGAACTTCTGCGTCACATTATACAGCAAGTGTACAGTCACTCTGTCAGAGATCCCGACAAGCTGAATGCTTATGAACCATTTTCTCCTGAGGTACAGTAGGCAGGGGCTTCATTAATGTTTTCTGCAGGAGGGCAACTGGTTTTCACAGGCGGGAAAAACTCTTTGAACTGAACTTCTTTATAAGATAAACTTTCCTCCAGACGGTCAAATCAGGTGGGCAAAACCGTCCTCACAACCGGTCAATTTGCCTGGAGCCTGGCCCTTAATGAAACCCCTGAGTAGGATCACGATAGCTAAGTGCTGGTATGAGATTTAATTCTCGCAGTTACTTTTGGACTGTCAGTGCTTCACACTAAATGGTAGCCAACTAGCTACAAACTAGTAGAAATTTATAAAGGCTGATGGTTTCGAAAGAAACTGTTTGGGATTGCGTCGGTGGGAGTAACGAATAATTTGGATATATCAACAAAGTTGAAGTGGTAAATTAGCCACCGTAATGATTCCAAAAGCTGATGTTTCAAGCGTTAGCCCTTCGTCGGAGCGAATAGAGGAATTGTGGGTTGTGTGTGCTTTTAAAAATGTAGCTCCGTTCTCTGCCTTTAAAGGCACACACAACCCGCAATTCCTCTATTTGCTCCGACGAAGGGCTAACGCTCAAAACGTCAGCTTTTGGAATCATTACGGTGGCCAATTTACCACTTCAACTTTGTTGATATATCCAAATTATTTAATAGAAATTTAGTTTTGGCTAGTGGTGTTCGATTTCCATTAGCCAGTTTGGCTAGTAAACAAGTCAAGTTTTTTCTTTTTTTTTCAAGTTTTTATTAGGTCTTCCAAAACAATTTTTTACAACGAACACCGCCTGCAAATAGCGAGCTAATCTAGGCGGGCGATGTTAAGGGCAAACAAACACGAATTACTAATTGAAGGCGTCAAAAAAATTCGATTTTGAATACATTATTTTCAACAAACTGAAAGTGTTGTAATATCTAAGATGTCACTAGGCTACTTAGCTAGTAAGTTGAAAAATAAGTGTCGAGCCCTGACTGTGCACTGAACTTGTGGAGTACACTCTGCACTCAGTTGTCAAATCCTTGTTTGAGTGTTTATCGCTAATATTCACTGCATCACTTGATACACTCTCTCCCAAAAATTTATCACTCCAATTGTCACCTCTCCTATTTCTCTATTAACCCAAACATGAATGCATAAGTGTCGAGTCATGCAACTTCCGTTTAACCGCATCCATACTATGCTGCATAAATTTTTCATTCCACACCGCAAACTGAATGGTGCATTCTCCATTTCCACTATCACAAATCACTGAGTTCAGAATGCTGGAATGCTTCAGTGGATGTGCACATGAAGTCATATCAAAGGTCTAATTATCCTGCAAAACATAATACTGTATTTTTGTTTTGGAAAAGTTGCGCTATTAAAATTTTTGTGTCAAATCACTCACATTAGAATTGAACTTATAGTAACATTTTTTGATAAATCTACTGTTGATAAATTAATATTAATTATTAATGGTGTTTTCTTTTTTGTGTGTGTGTGTGTGTGTTAGGTATATGGTGAAACATCATTTGAACTTGTGGCTCAGATGATTAAGGAAGTGCCTATGAGTCCAAATGATTTATTTATTGATCTAGGAAGTGGTAAGTGAAACACAGTCATTACTTCAGTTCAGCATTGTATATTTAATTCCCATAAGACAGTTTTTCTTTTTTAATACTTAATAAGCCCTGATAACATTATTATAATGCTTTTCTGTAATCTGTTGTCTATACAATTCCTATGATTGTGACAATAAGAATTTGTTCAACAATTAAGAGCTTAAAATATGATACTCTTTGTCCTGAAAAGAAGACCATTCAGATAATAATATATAGATTTAGTCAATTAGCCTAAAAGCAGAGTTCACATTTTTTTCCCTGCATGTCTCAAGGGCACAATGCCTTGCCCTAGCCAAGACTAGAATCTGGGTCGTCCAACTCAGAGCCCAGTGCACTGACCACTAGACTACTGGACAAAGCTGTGGTGTTGGCGTGCCTGCAGTACAGTTGGGTGCACATGCTAAAAGTAGCACCTTGTACGGATACCCGAACAGTCATAAGTCCAGATTTTTTTGGCTTGATGGGTTAATACTACCATTTTGTATAATTATGGGGCTACGCTCTGCGAGCTTCACTATCAGTACTTTTCATTTGATATAAAGAATGCCAAAAAAGGAAACTCTGCAGCAGAGTGACTTTTGGTGCTAGCATTCATTCACAAAACTGTGGGATTTTTTTTTCAGGTGTGGGTCAGGTTGTATTACAAGTTGCAGCATCAGGAAATATCAAGGAATGTTATGGTATAGAAAAAGCAGATATTCCTGCAAGATATGCAGTGGTGAGTGATGTTTATGAAATCAGCTTGAACCTTGATGCAAAAGAGAATCAATTTAAATGTGATTCCATGGACCTGAGAGATTTTTACAAAAAGCCTTCCACAAACTTTTGTAAACAGGGTTTGCATGAATTGTGGGAAATTTGGGTAGTCATGGAAACTGGGTGTGGGAGATAGAAGAGTAAAAAAATCACTGAGGAATGTTGATAACAGCACTTGCACTGTACTTGTCTTATAAACCCTCCTAGCAGTCAAATAGTGAGAAGTGGGAAAATTATCAACTAAGGGATATATATATATATATATATATCTTATTAACCAAGCGCGAGGGCCATACTGGGAGAATATCGGCCCGAGGGCCATACTGGGAAAATATCGGCCCGAGGT